AGTCATGTATAGCAAGTAAACAATTACTCACAGAGACAAGATGACATCTTGAGAGATAAGTCTTTTGCTATTGTAAGAAAGATATATTAAACATTTGTATATATCATTTTCAAAGAGTCTGCACTGAAATGATGTCATTTTCTACAAAAAATTGGATTTTCAAAACAAATTTAAATGGAAAAATATTAACAAATAGAAGAGTATACACTTAGCTATCGCGTTCGAATCAAGCTAAATCTTTTTTTTTCTAAATAAATCATAATTGATCGAAATTCCTCACTGCTGTACTCATAATAACAATAGTTTATATAAAAATGAATATAAAAGTGAACTAACGCCATCTATCAGTATGTCAAAACTATGATATGTTCCAATCCATAACTTTCTTTCTTAAATAATTCATTCATTAGATTAAATATCTTTATTTGTTTATTTATTATTACTCATTCTTAAAACTCAGTCTCAATATTTTTTATTAAATATTTTTTGTTATCCATGGGTACAAATGCTGAATTTAATCTTCGATTTACAAAAAAGATGATTGAAAGAGAAGCATCCGCAGCTGAAAAAAAATATGAAGCAAGTCGAAAAAAAGCATTAGATGCATTAAAAAAATCTGGTGATGTTGAAACCGCTCGTATTTATGCTGAAACAGCAATTCAAAATCGAACAGCACATAATCAATTTCTCACTATGGCTTCACGAATTGATAGTGTTATTGCTAAAGTAAAATATTTCATTCAAAAAAATGAAAGAAAATTAGTTTCATTTTTTTTTCCTATAGGTTCAACAAGCAAATGCTCAAAGTATTATGGTTAAAAATATGAAACAAGTTAATAAAATGCTTGAACATGTTAATAAAGATATGAATCCAGCTGAATTAGCTAAAGTTATGGAAAAATTTGAACAAGTTAGAATTATTTTTTTGATACAAAAAGAAAAGAAACAAAATTGCATTTATTTATTTTTTTCAAACTTAGTCATTTGAAGATTTTGATGTTAAAGAGCAAGTTATGAGTGATGCAATGAATCAAGCTATGGCAACAAGTACACCTACTGAAGCTGTACAAGATCTTTTACGTCAAATAGCTAATGAAAATAATTTAGATATTCGTGCTCAACTTGATGCTATTCCAACAATTCAACAGTCAATAGCAACACCAGCACAAAAAGAAGCTGCTGCACAAAATAGTCGTTTGGCTGCTCTTCGTCATGCAACATAATGCTTCGGTTTTTTTTTTTGTTTATTATAAACTTAATATATTTTGTTTCATTTACAATTATCTCGTCTTACAGCACGTGTAGAAAATGATCAATTATTTTGACTCTAACATATTTACTCGAATTATTTATGAAAATTGTATTTTTTTGTATAGAAATGAAAATAAGTTTATCTTAGCTGTTTGCTGTTTATTAAATTTCATCTAAACTTTTTGTTACTAATCAAATATCAGTACTTTGTAAATATGTTAAACAAGATCTGAGCATAAGACTTTAAATAATGTCAGAAAATCAAGCAATTGGATGCTAGCAGCATGCAAAAGGAAACAGAAAAAGACAAAAGTAATGGAGGTAACTTTTTGAGATATAAAATTATATCTCCGTCTCTTTGTGAAGGTGTGAGTGTGGGTTTCGCCTTCATCGTGCCACATCCAGATCATACAATTAGTGAGGTGAGAGCGGGTAAAGTTCTGCAAGGTAAAGCTAGAGTTTGCCTCATATTGCTAAGAGAATTTTCGATAATGAAAGTACCTTCCAAGACAATACTGACATCTTTTAAGTTTTGATGTCTACACATGTGAGTATTGCAATGTGAAAAGATGACACTAGAAAACCGCATGAGTCATAAAGTAATGATGCATTTTTCTTTTTCTACGTTGCTTCATCTAAAGTGAATTGATGATATAAGGATTTTTCATTATTCTATCGAGTCAAAAGTGGTGTGTGTATGTACAGCAATGTCTACTAAATTATCTCGACAAATTACCAATGAAAAGAAGAAAAATACTTTACGTTCATTGAAAGAGGTGAAGTCAACTAAGACAAAAGAAGCTGTTTCATCGTCGAATGGTGAATTTTGTTCGAGCCTCTTGAGAATTCAGAATTCAAATGATACATAGACATTTGAAACCTACGTTCAATGTAACATATGCCAACAAATCTTGTCATACGAATCGAAAAAATGCAGCCAATTTCCTTCAACAACGTGT